TTTTCTCAAACTACCATCAAATACACCAAGTCTTTTAGATAGTATCGTTTCCAAAGTTAGTTTAGAGACCACCCACTCCACTGGTTCCAATGCGTTTGGGAATACCCCTATCACAGTCACATTGGTCTGCTACAAGATAGAATAGAAGTATGCGTTTCTTGCAAAGTAACTGCACATGCACGTCACATTTGTCCAGAACTGGGGTTGTCTGACCTGTGTAGGTTCTCAACGTGGACTGGCAACTAGTCCCACGGGGTAGATTTTTGACAGTCTTGGCACTGATTGTCGACAGGGATGCCCCATTACCAATTTCACTTTGATAAATGCTCCTTCGTTTTCGACTTGTATGTAATAAGGTGGTAGACGTAACTACATGCCAATGCAGTATTTACTTTGTCAAATAAACAATCGTTTCCTGTGTTATTGCTTATTTTTACTTGTACGACAGCAACGGGTTTCCCGAATGACTTTCTGTTGCGATGGTTCTATGAGGCTAATCCGCAAACACGTGCTAAATGCTGAACCTTCCCAGGGTGAAGAAAAATTGTTTGCTTGGGGCAATATTCGTCTGCTGATACACGTTTATTTCCACAGCGGTAACATACTGAGCGTATTGTATGTGACATGATCTTCCGTGTCTTTGCCTGTAAATTGTCCGGGAAAACTGAATTAACCGATGGGTGATATCCTCTTGATGTCGGATGATTGCACGTGTCCTTTCTCAGGTGAGTTTAGACTCTTCTTCTGACAGTGACGTCTCGAGAGCCAGATAGCTCTGTATTCCAGTAATCACAGACTGAATCATCATTTCTTCCTCAACCTTACTGATCGGTATTTCATTATAACCAAAGTTCAGGATGGCTTGTTGTATTCTTTCAATGAAATCGTTAGCTTGTCCCTCAGCGTCTGGTGCAGTTTAGAAAAATAATAACTGGTCTAGAACCCCAAAGTTCAACGAATGTGTCGAATACTTTATCGTAACCAAGATGTAATGAGTTGAAATGACGTTGTCCTTCATCACCAAGAAATTGGCGAGAGAGTTTTATTTTGTGTGATTCGGTAAGCACCATCTGTGCGAAAAGCACAGGTAACAACTCAGGTTAGTCTATGAATGTCATTTTCAATAGATACCATGTGGAAGGTGATGGTTTTCCTGTGGCTGCACCTCAAATTGGTGAAGATAAATGCGAGGTAAATGCATCGCCAATTTGGTTAAGACTGAATTCCAATCGCGGCGCTGATACATTGTATTGTCGGGGGCCCGTAACCCAACATAAGTAATCAGAAAAAAAGATAGCATGCAGATCGGATCCGGTGTAACGAATTAATGATCGTGAGAATACATCAATCGATTAAATGATAGTCTAAAACTAGGTCAAGCTGGCTTACGGACAAAATGGTCCGGAAGGTTATTGATCACCTTGTCATGATCTACCGTGTCACGTGATATAACGAAAAATAGGAACTGGTGAACGATTGCGAACATAGCAACTACCGAAATCCAGACTAGCATAAAAATTCAATGTGGATTATATATTGTGTTGACAAAAGAGGTGTATCGATGATGAAAGCTTAAAAGTGTAAATCCTGGTTGTTTGTGCGTGATTAGTTTCCCATTGGTTGTTGCAACAGAACATCTTTGGCGCGATAGAAGCCTTTTAATTAGTTGGAATGCAAAGGAACAGGATGCTGGATGAAATTGTGACGTGCTCTTCTTACCGGCAGTACTGTAACAATTTCAGCTTGTGTTCTCCGCGAAATTTTTACCGAACTGATACGAAACGATAACAGTCAGCTGCACAACAAATCCACTTAACACCACCGACTGGACACCATCGGATTCGTTCGTTTTCAATAGGTTGATAATGAGCAAATTTAATATAAGATGCCAATCTTCTTTTAGGGGAACACTCAGGCTGGGGAGGATTAATCAATAACACGTACTCAACAACGTACAACCACAAGAATAAACAAGGAATGAGAGATTCGAGTCCTAATGGTTCAGCTCTGGCCCCAACTCTGCGTGCTTGTCTGAAATTGATCACAGTGTCAAAAGTTCAAGTGATTGCACACGTGTTGGGGTGGATGAGGTGGCCAGGGGAGATTAAGTGCTTACACACATTTCTTCTGGACACACAAACGGGGGGGGGGGTTCGTGCTCGTGATTCTAGCGTACGGGATGGTTTACGATCGCGATATTGGTAACATGAGTTCACAAGTGTGGATTTGAGTTTCTCTAACTCCTATAAAGAAGATGGCCCCAGTCCAGAAGGCTGATCGGATAAGCTCTCAAATTCAATCTCTAAATCTAACTATTTAATCTTATTGATTGGACAACGGAATTTCGGTCTCCTTCCTTGTTTGTTCTTGTTGTTAATCATGTTTAATGTTGCGTAATAGGATGATTACGAATAACTAGAAACGAGCTTGTTTGCCACGCTGTTGTTCTCAATGTATTCTTTGGGACTAATGAAACATTTCATATATGATGTATTTTATGCAAACCACACTCAGACAAGATCCACGAACTGACCAGCTGACCATTTGGGCTGAGGCTTCGGTGTCCATTGTTCGTCCATGAATTTGGTCTTTTGAACCTCCCCCTATTGTTGTATAGATTCATTTTTTAAAATTTACATTTTGAACTACAGCACTTAGTACGAGGCATCTTGTTGTTTAACTGAAGTTTAGTACAACTCTGCTTAGTTGTCTGTTACCCGTTGCTTTTGACATGACCACTACCTTTTTAATTTGGTCTGTTTCTTTTGTTTTGTTTGCGTCACCCAGTTGATTGACTTCTTTATCCTTTGCGGTGTTAGTTACCTCTTTAAGTGCCCCCAAAATAGGACCAACACCCCTCCTCCCCACTTCCTGCAACATCGTATATTAAAAAAAACACCTCTGATCTTTGCTCGTGGTGACAGTGTCTAAAGTTGTCCAGGTATCACAACAATTACCCTTTGAGGTACCATTGACAAGAAAACGTTCAGAACAATGGGAAAGTTTGCTATGAAAATACATCACTCATTTTTGTCAGATTCACGCAAACCGAATGCTGAATCATTCTGCTATGAAATAATTTATGTGATACAGTCATATTTTGCAAATGCTGCATCTCTGTAAAAGTACGATCACGATAAAAGCACTAATTGGAAGATTCGTCATCCCAGAAATTATCGATTAGATAACCATTTTATTGTCACCTCCAAAAATAAGCGACGCTTTGTCAAAAGCGCAGGTAAGAAGTTGACCAAATACGTCCCTTTACCGCCACATTTCTTATCACGTGTTTGGGCAACTACATGGCTACCCAATCACCAGTGAACTGCAAAGGTGACTTTGATGATGTGAGAAAACCAATTTTCCGATTGTATGGCAGGCTGTTGGCCCTTTCATTCTCATTAATTGCGCTCTCCATCGCAGGTGGCTGGCCTGGCGGTAAACAGAGCAGGGAAGCAATGCGTGTATTAAATTCTCCGTATTGAACAAAATCGAGACTGACGTAAGCTCTCATCGTCTCATCAGCAGCTTTGGCATTAGTTTGAAACGCAATCGATGAGATAAACGAAATAGTGAAGGCAACAAAAGTACCAAAAGCAATCAAAAGCTTTTACTCGGGAACATTGTCATCTCAGTGAACAATCACGTGATTTGACCTTGGTTTCTGTATCTAACTGACTTAAAAGCTTCCAAAGAATGATTAGAGCGCTTCAAACCCTATTACACTATTTGCGGTGGCACAATAATTGAACTGGCACAAGCCGTAGATAACGTGAGTATACAAGACCGGAGATTTCATATCTGATACAAGAATATCCTATACGGGAAGTGCTTGCAAATACAGCGCCACGAAAGTGCCATAAACCTACTAATTGTTAAAAATATGAAAATAATAAAATTGACTGTGAAGCTGTAGAGCACCAGAACCACTTTGCGTTTTGCTACCACATACCGGAACGGAGGTGATGAAATCACTTATATCTGGTTGAATATATCACCGCAACATAGTTTTTAGCATCTCGGGGAACAAATGAAACTATAATTATTTGATAATATTTTGTGGGTAATGAGTATACAACCGTAGCAGACTTCATAACAAAGCCAGTCTTTGCTAACTTTATGATAAGTAACAGACAAATGACTGGCCAAATTTATCCTGGAATTTCAAGCTTAATTTCGCGGTTTTTGCTTCTTATCTGATGTACGTTCTCTGCTCTCAACAACTATCACTGCCACACATCGATTTGAGTTTTGGAGATCAGCTTACCTTGAAATTCATCTCTGTTAGATGAATGAGGAGCGGGAGGATAATTTCTCATTGGGAATGCAGATATAACAATGACTGGACAAGACTGCAGAATCAGCTTGCCTGTTGACCAATGAGTTATGAAACCGACTGTATACCTCCAGCGTTAAAAATACAGTCACCTATGCACTACTATGCACCATTATATAAAAGCACAAAAATCCGTTTCAGTTCTACGAAGTACAAAAAAAAAACATTCTGTCATTGTCCATCATCAGTCTGGAGTTATTTGTTCATTTTACTATTGAATAAACCGTAAGTGAACTGAAATAACAAATTTGATTTGAATCCAATCGGAATAGATATCAAAAGGCTTTTTTCTCAGCCCAGCTATTTGTAAACTTGTGATTTGTGCTATCACACCATGCCCCATCTCCCATCAATTTTTCTATGAAACGGTCTGTGCCGAATTTACAACTTCTGTTTACTAAGAGGCAGATTTATTCGTTGAATCATCCCCCAAACGTGACCCAACATTAACCCTGTAAGATTTTTGCGAATCGGCATTCTTTGTGGTTGGGTGACCAATCACATTAGTTCTATCAACCCTACCGGTCGATAGCCCGATACCCAGGCGACCAATCAGATCATTGCTTTTCCCTACCCTTTCCTGTCCAATTGTCTGTGATCCAGTTCTGTTCACTGGTGTGAAATAAACAGTCAGGTTTGCTTCCCGATGAAATGCGATCGATAGGAGTGGCATGTCGCCTCGTGCTATCCCCAACTCCGTCGTGTATTCTCATCGGTCTTGTAGTCTGTTCCTTATATGTGATACTGCTTGGTCTTTTTGCGACCAGAAAACTACGCCTCACAGAGTATGTACAGTCAGATTTTACCTACGACATCGAACCTATTCTCGGAGTGCAGAGCTCTGCCGTTTGTCAAACATTTCATTTACGTCAACATGACTGGAACACCACTGATCAGTCCCGTGTTCAGCCACCCAAATGTGATGAAAGAGGTATTTTGTCCAACACAAATCCCACATACCTATACGATATATCTATCACAAACGGTCAACTGAACATTCGAAAAAGAAGTGTTCGGGAAAACCAGACCACTGACGGAGATATCCAATGCAGTCTGTTCCCCATAATACGGTCAGATGAGTATCATTCAATTTACGGCATCCCGGTCAATTCCGTTCAGGATGGATATCGACCCGACTGGCCAGCGTTTATGGTCCTTTGTCAGCCCAGAGAAAATCTGATCCAACTACCACAAGCTCGATGGAACAGCGAAAAGTTGAAACAACAAGAACGACACTTTGTCTGCGGTGCGTTTCCCCCGGTGCACCTCGACACAACACATGCCAAACATGGACCTATGTTTAATGTTCTGCTACTTGGACTGGATTCCATATCACGTGTCGCTGCTGAACAATACTTGCCGCAGACCATGGCCTGGTTAAGAAGCCACCGCAATGTGGAAATAATGGATTTGTACAACATCATTGGAGATGGAACGACGGCAAATCTGTTAGCCTTATTGACCGGATTGTTTGAACATGAGTTACCCGAGAGTCGAAAGTCACGTGTGGTACCAGTTTCAGTGAATAGTCTAACCCCGAATGAAACGGTACTGGACACATATCCTTGGCTTTGGGGTGAGTTCAACCGAGTCGGAGGCTATGCGACACATTTCATCGAGGACTCACCCAAATGGGGAACATTTCAGCATCGATTAACTGGTTTCGGTGTTGAACGAACACCGACACATAGTTACGGTCGTCCGTGTCTGTTAATGGCTGCACAAGAGGAGCACAGATATGGTAAAACTTTGGGTTGTATACACGCAAGGTGAGTACATAATCACGTGAGTCATCTAACATTAGACTGTATTTCAATGTTTGTCATATGATCAGTTTTGCCCATATATACAGTACAATCCAAATCACATTTGGATTTAGTAATTACTAAAATAAAATCATCTTTTGTCCGAATGAATAGTATACAAATAAAACTCAATCCCACAGTCCGGCAAATCGAATAGAATTTCTCCCGGGAGGGTTCATTGATGAGACGCAAAGATAATCATGCCCTGACCCAATATATGTACTCATCAGTTACCATCACGACGAGCCTGCACCTTGACGTGGTGTGATGACTTGTGTGCCTCCATGACAATGCGACCTATAC